ATAATATTGGGTCCTTTATTCTATGGAAATGGATATATTAATTCCAAACCAGCTTCATAATGGGGGGAATATTTATTTTTAGTACTGATACTCCATCTGCCCATTCAATAAAAGATATCAAAAACAAAGCACAGAGAGATAGAGAAGGTAGTTAACTCACAGCAAGGTTGCACATCATTCCCTACCAGCTCTGATTGTTAAGGAATGAGCTTTCCGGGTGGGGTTGGAGTAGGTTCATATATCTCTTATTCCAGAAATTGTACTGGAGGAACACCAGCCACAATTCTGCTTATTGCAAGTAGTTATCAATTGATAAAAAAAAGTTATCAATTGGCTTGGAACTCCCTGATCATACAAGGATGGAGAGGTCTGAGTCTGAATCTGCACTCAGTGATAAAGCTCATTGGGTATACTTGGACCCACCCCACTCTCACAGTCTAGACTATCCAAACTTTGTTATGAGAATACTATGGAAAGGGGAGTCCTTATATCAACTTGATAAATAAATAAATCTATAAGTTGGAGTGAGTTCAAAAAAGGGCTATAAGGATGATAAGAGGTATGAAGAACAAAATATGAGGAGAGGTTGAAGAACCTGGGACTGTTTAGTTTGGTGAAGTGAAGATTGAAGGGTGACATGATTGTACTACCTCAAGGGCTGTCATAGAAAGGAGGGACAGGCCTGTTCCCTATTGCCTCAGAGAGTAGGACCAGGTCTAATGGTTTGAAGTTACCAGAGAGTAGATTGGGATTGAACGTTAGAAGGAACTTCTTGATAGTGAGAGTGGTTCAGCAATGGGACCAATTACCTAGAGAGGTAGTGGGGTCTTCTTTTCTTAGTCTTCAGAAAGGGGCTAGACAGCTATCTGCTGGAGATGCTCTAGCTGAAGAACCTGCAGTGATCAGGGGGTTGGACTCAGACCCCCATGAGATCCCTTACAACTCTATGAGATGATGATGATGATGGTTGTTGGGGGAAAATCTGGATCATAATTTTGTTGGCAAAATAAACTTGATTTCAGAAAGACAAACACAGAGAGAAAAATTCCAATCTTCCCATTGTGTAGAACATTTTGCCCAGATGTTATACAGATGGTAGCAGCATTGGATAGAACTTCCCACAATAGAAGATGTTGTGGGTGGCTGGCTGTCAGTAATTTTAAAAATGAGTGGGTTTCTATGCACACAGACATTCTGTGACAACACTGGAGAATGGGACAGTGGCTGCTTGTGAAAAATATGGTTTTATACTTTTCTTTGGTAACTAAAGCCAATACTAAAAACAAGTCCTATTAAGATCAGGAGGACCTACACCCAAGAATTGCTATCTGGGATATTAACAATGCAAAATCAGCATGCAAAGCACTGTAAATTTCACACTCAGACCTGGAGGTGTACGCATGTGTGTGTACATGGATGGATTGTTTAGAGGAAAAAAGATAATATAACATTATATAACATTAACAGAGTGCAAAATATTAGGGACAGTGTCAGACATGGGGCTTAAATTGTCTTTATTCCCTTCTGCTGCCCCCTTTTCTCTACGTATGTGATAGTTGTCAGTGCAGAACCAAAAGCCGAAAACAGTAATCAATGGGACACACAGGCACCGATGCCCATAGAGCAACCCCTCTCTGAACCTCACTCATGGAGGGAAACACTCTCTGCATAAAAGTGCCAAAATGGTTTCAGTGTCAGCATTAACAGATGAGGAAATGAGAAAGTCAGCTAATTTCTTCATTTATATCTGGCTCTGGAGGATCCACATTCATGCTGTGTGTAAATGGCAAGTGTTATAAAATCACTTCAGAAGAAGAGCAATCGCAAGCCTGCCTACGTTTTCAATACTTGGCCTTTTCCTATTTTTGCTCACTTAACTGTGAAGAATCTCTGTCTATAGTCAGGCGGTTGCATAGCCTGCTATGGCCTTCTTCTCTCCTTCCTTCCCTGGTCCCCCTCCTACTATTCCATTTCTGCTGCCATTAGCACTCTCTAGAGCAGCCGCCTCTAGGAAATGTCCCATTAACTAAAATACATTGTGTGTTCTGCATTTCCTATTATATTCAATCGTTTCCACAGCAGTCAGTGTCTTATTATATTAAGACTTTTGCATGCAAGATAGCTGAGCTAGACTTTTAGGCACAGAGCCTATTTTTAAAAAGACTGCCCCCTCCTCCATCCATAAGCCTATATATGGGAAGAGGCTAGAGGAAATGTGGGCAGTGTTACAGAAAATTAATTGTTGTAAAATGTGACTTTGGAGTCACAGATCAAACTTTTAAAGGTAATTTGCCATATTTCATGCTTGAAACTATATAAAAATGGAGAAAATTGGAAATTAGAGAAGAATTACTGCCCATATTTTTCAAGAAGAGTGTTTTAGACTAAATGAATCTTATTATGCTGATGGAAACTGCTGACTTTTAAAAAAAAATTCTTACAAAGACAGTACTTAGGTTGTCCTTGAGAAAACTGGAAGGGGAGTTCAGGTGTCCCAAACAGTTGCATTAAGAAATCAACAAAAATGTATAACTGGATGTTAAGACCCATACCTAAGATTGTAGTCAACAAATATATTTACCAGGAAGCATATAATAATAAAAAGAATAGAGCCATAGGACGTTATCACATGGGGGCAAATCTGCTGGTTAATCCACACAAATCCCAAACAGAAACTGGATTTGTGCCTCGCGTTTTCACATGACGTAGCACAGAAACTGGACAGAAAGTGGACAGAAACTGGTGTTAACTGAGATCTTTTGAAATTCGGTTGTTTGGAGGAAATGCAAATGCGAAATTAAGGTAATTTCGCATTTACCATTATGTGAAAGGCAAATGCGCATTTGGGAGCATTTCCCTGTTTTTCCCATGGTTCCACAGCGAGCATTCCTCTATCTGCGCATGTGCAAGAAGCTCATTTCTAGTACATTTACGGGCTTTTCTCACTTGTGTGTGAACGTTAAATGCGCTTACTGTAATTTCACAATTAAGGTAATTACGTGTGAAAGCCATTTGCGGAATCAAGGTTTATTTTTGGTTTATTTTCGGAATGCCTCATTTCCACTTTATTATCGCTTTCTGGCCCACGTGTGATAACATCCATAGAGTTGGAGGAGGCCTTGTAGACTATCTACTTAGTTCTCTGCTTGATACAGGAAATCCTGAGGAAGAGCATTCCAGTCAACACAACAGAGATTGAATCTGGGACTTCATGCATAGCACAAACTCTGTCACTTGGCTATGGCTCCATCTTGACATAAATCCAAACCTCTGTTGTATTGCTTGACTCCACAGCTGCGTAGAACACCAGATGTTGAACAAAACTCTTGTCACTTAGAAATAGAATTGTTTCCTGGCACTGTAAGAAGAATATGGAATTAAGAGAATATTTTTAAACCTATAGTTCATTGTAATAATTATGTTTAAACACACTGTTCTAATATTTATAACTTCAGTGACATTAATTTTTGAGTAACCATTAATGTTTCATGACATATTAGTTTGTCATTTTGGGAAGTAATGGGAGAGGGCTTGTCTATGGGCCTTTGCAGACTGCTAGAAATAGTGCAAATTGAGTCCACTTTAACTGCCCTGGCTCAGTGCTAGGGAATCATGGGAATTGTATTTTTTTTTCCTGAGACATTGAGCCTTCTCTGACAGAGCGCTCTGGTGCCACAATAAACTACAGTTCCCATGATTCCCTAGCACTGAGTCAGGGCAGTTAAAGTGGACTCAATTTGCACTATTTCTGGCAGTCTGCAAAGGCCCTAAGTTCAGCAAATTTGATTTTTTTAAATAAATAAATAAATAAATAAATAAATAAAAGCAGGTGCCACTAACATATTACTAACCATTAATGTAAAAATGATGTTAGTCGCCAAAACATTTAATGTTACCACATTGATGTCCTGATGACTGTCAGCATTAACACATGAGCTTGAACAGAAAACTTTCCAAGCTCTGAGTATAAGCCATGATCTCTAGAACTAAGTGCACTTACTCCAGCCTAAATCCCCTAAGGCACCAGATCCCATCTTATCTTGCCAGGTGCTGTAGGCTGTATGGTGCACATAATCTAGGCTTTATTAAGGCTGGAACTTAGAGCAAAAAGATACAGCTTAACATCCTTCCAACCTTTTGCATGTTTCCAGGAGCAGCAAGTCACCTTCTTCCTTTTTTGGCCAAAAAAAGGTTAGCCTGAGGATTCTGGAACCATCAAAGGCCACAAAAGCATATTTGGGGGCTCCATCCCTCATCTACAACATATATTTGTTAAATACCAGGAGGATACAAGGGGACCCCCTTCATGCTGAGAACTGAAACTGAGTTGTGAAAATGGGAAAAAAAATATTTCCCTATCCCTACATGGTGTCTAGTGACTTAAATAACTCAAAGCCACCAGATCCTGTCTGATCTTGGAAGCTACATATGATCAGTCCTGATTAGTACTTGGATGGGAGGCTTCCAATGAATACTACTGGTATAGGTTATATTTCAGAGGAAAGAACTGGCAAACCACCTCTCAGTATGCTTAAGAAAACCATATGAAATTCATGGGGTTGGCATAAGTTTCAGGCAACGTAAAGGCACATTCACACACATATGCTGTATGAATATGTAAGTCTGTGACCTTCTTTACTTCTTTTTGATCCCAGGCTCTTAGTCTTAACAAAAACCCATAGCTGGCCCCGCACAGAGATTTGCCTATAAAAGCTCACAAAAGAATCTAAAATTATATATACAAGTCAAGATCAAGACCAAGTAAAAATTGTATAGGTATTTATTCTCCACCAAAAATTCCACATTCAAATGTCATACATACATCTAGCTGTACTTACCATTTTATATCATGGTGCAAATGTTCATTTTGTTCTTGTGGCTGTCGTTGTTGTGTGCCTTGAAGTTGTTTCCAACTTATGGCAACTCTAGTTTCTTCTTCCATTGCCATCTTCTGAGGCTGAGAGACTGTGACTTACCCAAGGTCATCCAATAGATTTCCATGGCTGAGCAGGGATTTGAACCCTGGTCTCCAGAGTCAATAGTTCAATGCTCAAACCTCTACACCATTCTGGCTCGCAAAATTTACACTACACAGTATGTGTGGGGGCATGTATGCACATATCCATCTCTTATGAACCTAGTATAAAATCATTATATTTGGATTTTAAGTAAGTCTAAAATAAAATTCCATAATAAATCTGAATCTGAACACCCCCTTCCTGAATATTCTAAACTATGCACAAGATGTCTATAACATTTAAATAGTTGCTGGCTAAGTTCAGTTTGGGGTGGGTTAGGAGAAAGTTCACGAGATAAAGAAATTGAAGGCCAGAAATTATGTGAGCGAACAGAGCCATCTGAAAAGTGAAGCAAGCATGAAATCCTGATAAAAAGAAATGTTGGAAAGTGGCAAATGATGTTTCTACTGTACCAACTCCAGCCAAATTCACTGGGGAGAATGGATTACACGCTCTTACAAAAGCAGGGCATTGTAGAGGAGAACCAAGGCAAACTATCTCAGCCTAAATTCATATCTTGTCTGAGCAGTTACTGAATCCAACCTTGTAGCTTTTGTTTACCTGAATTTCTGCTGCTTGCAAAACAGAATGAGATAGCACAGATGCTTTTCTAACAATGATACTGCCTGTTCATTAAATTCATCAGTTATCTTATACCCTCTTCTAGGTCTCAAGAAAGGCATCTAAATTGAGGGTTGCTGTTGTTTTGCATCATGCAGATTTATTTAGTAAAATTAAGGGAGAAACCACATGATTAATCAACTACAACTTTAAATGAATTGAGATCTCCACTGTTAGTTTTAAAATACTTTGATCTCATTCATAACTGATGGACAATCAATATGAGTGAGTATTTTTGTTCAAACCCCTCTGAACAAATTCTGCCAAGAAAACCCTGTGTTGTCTTACGGTTGTCTTAGAATCACAATAAGTCAGAAATGACTTGAAGACACACCACCACCACCACATTTTCGTTTCCCACCCATCTCCCCTTCATCATCTCATAATGAAGTCTCAGCTTTGAAACCAGGCCAACTCCTTCTTCTTCCAAACAAAATAAAATACAGGAGTCTGTGTAGATGACATGTGATCAATCACGAAGGAAGGCTGTGGAACTTGCGGATTTCTAATCATCTTCTCCTGCAGGCTTTTTGAGTAGCCAATATGCCCATTCTCTTAACACTCATGAAGAAATGAATAGCTCATTTAACTAATAATTACCCTTCTGTGGTTCCTCTCAATTGGTTTCTAGAAGTTTTTTGTTAAACAACTTTAATAATAGCCATTAATTCCTCTCTACAGAAGATGACCCATTCCTTTTGCTATTTCAGGTAACACAAACTCAGATGGCTTACATTTATGCTCCAGAAAATGCTCAGTGAATAGATACAAGTATGGTCCTGACTTCACAGGGAGGACAGAAATTTCACCAAGTTTATCTGCTTAAGAAAGATTATATGACCAAGATTATACACTGGACAAGTGACTGGCAAGGGACATCAGGTATGACCTCCTGCATACAATATCCAAAAAAAAAACCACATAGTATTCATATTCTTCTCCAATGGACATATTACCAGCCATACTTGCTAGAGGATTCTGGGAATTGTATTTCAACACCTCAACTTTTTCCAAACTCGGGGGTGGATAAGGCCAGATTGCATATCTGTAACTGTAGTTCTTCAAGTGGCATCTGTGAATTCACACAAATCAGTTATTCTTCACCTGCACAGTGAATGCATCTTTCAGAACCCTCTAGAGCATTACATAAACATTTGGGCAGTAGGTCTGCCCACCTCCAGCAACCCTATATAAGACGCTTCCCATTGAAACCACCAATTCCAAGGACACCAATATAGCAATCCAAAGGACATGCAGAACACAATGAGGTGAGAATGGGTGAGGTTGTGTAAGTTCACAGATGACAACTTGAAGAACTTCAGTTACAGGTATTCAACCTGTCCTCCTCCTTCGTGGTCTCTGTGACTCACACAAATGGGAGATTAGCAAGCTACACAAAGAGGAAGTGGGAGAGTCATTACAAGCAAATCAGAAGTTTACTAAACATCAAATCAATGCAACACAGCAAACATGACCATAACACCCACTTACCCATGTAAAGTAATATCTTCCATACATTTCAGAAGACAGAGTCAATCTTTAATGTCAATACACAACGAAGTTTCAACAGACAGAATTATCTTGACGCATCAGTGATACAGTCACAATATGAAAGAATAAAGTACAGATCTCCTGAAGGCAGTATCAGCTCAAGACTTTGAGGCCACTCTGTAATGAGTTATAAAATTCATTGGCTGCAATCTGGCAGCCACCTTAAAAATGTCCTTGATTGGAACCAAAGTATAGCAAACAAAGAGTCTTTGTGAAGTCCAAAAGACTGAAGTTCAGTCAATATAGAAGGCCAAAGTCCTCCACACATGTAGACAGTGTAACTTCCTCTCGAAGGCAGAAGTGGAATTCTGCATGAAAGCTGGGAGAACAATGCCCTTGTTGACATGGAAAGCAGACACTACTGTAGACAGAAAGGTAATGTTAGGTCTCAGGATAGCTCTATGGGAGTAGAAGTTCAAACACAGACAGTCCACACAGAGAGCACACAGTTCACTAGTCTGTCTGGCATTCACAACTGCAATCAGGAAAGCAGTCTTCCAAGAAAGCAACCAGAGATCACAGGTAGCTATGGGTTTAAAGGGCTTCCCACAAAGATGGACTAAGACGAGTTTTGAAGTGCATTATGGCATCAGGCTCAACAATGAAGGATGGAGGTTCTTATAGCCTTTCAAAGAATCTCTTCATAAGAGGATTGATAAAGCAGGAAGTCTTCCCAAGCAGCTGAAAGCTCATAGAAATTGCAGTGAGATAACACTGGATTAATGATAGAGACAAGCCCCTGGATGGCAACATGAGCAGAAAATCCAAAACATATCCAGTGTTGGCTTCAGTAGGAGAAATGCAAAGAGGAGTCAAGAACCCTTGAAACTTCCTCCACTTGTAAGGGTATGAATGTCTGGTGGAAGGTCATACGTTCAAAGAATCACAGAGTTGGAAGAGACTACCAGGGCCATTCAGTCCAACCCCCTGAGATGCAGTGTCCTCTCCTCACATGGCCACACAGCCCAAAAAACCCACAAATATAGCAAAACAGTTGTTTCTAACAACCGAGAGAAGGCAAGCCCACGCCTTATAAAGCATGCTCAGCCTCATCCTCCTTGTAACCTGTATTTCAGGATGATGTTTCCCTGCTGCAGCCACAAAGCCTCTCACTTCACCTGTGGGGGAGACGCTGCTTGAGACTTCTCCTTTCTTGAAGTGTTATCTCTTCTAAGTCCTCCTCCTCCTGCAGATAACTTAAGTGGCTGTTGGACAAAGTTGAAGAAGGGCCTGGCTGTAGTAAGTCAGTGTCATCTGCAGAGTCCGAATTTCAGGGGAGAGGGGCTGCTGGGTGGATATGCTTTATCGTCAGAAGCCGAACTCTCAAGGAAGGGCATGACATGCAGGAACACACAATCAAAGCACTCCTGACAGATGGCCATCCCACCTCTGCTTAAAACTGCCAAAGAAGGAGACTACACCATACTCTGAGGCAGTGTATTCCACTGTTGAACAGTTCTTACCATCAGGAAATTCTGCCTACCCTTTAATGAAATTGCTTTTCCTGCAGTTTGAACCCATGAATCTGAGGTGATGGTGGTACAAGCCTCCTTCTGATAGTGGTAAGTATGAGGGAACTTGTAATCCCATGAATAGTGAACATAGGAAGTTGGAGAGCTTCTGTATCAGGATGCACAGAGTCCATGGAGCTTGATCTCAAACACGACCACCCCTGAGAGCCATAGTATCTATGAGAATAATGACCTCAGTACCAAGAACATCAAGACTAATGATATCTCTTGGAGTGGTACCTCAAGCTTGAGGATGACTCAGAAGCAGTAGAAGCAGAGAAGATATGGACTGAGACTGAAATGGCTATCAGTGTGGCAGAGAGAGCAGAGGGACTAGTAGTCTAGCAAAAGAAAGCCCTAAGAGGAAGGCTGAACAGGAGGCGGCAAACCCAAGACCCTCACAACAGGGGAAGACACCAGAATTTCATCTTCAGATATGGTCTCTACCTCAAGTTGATGTATAACTGAAACAACCTCTATACAGTCAGAGGAACACTGTGGAGTCTCTGATACTCGAAGAGTAAGCTCCCCTTGATAAATGAAACCTGTGATCTCTAGCACAGCAGGAGCAGATCAAGCAGGAGAGGATGGTTGTTGCAAAGGAGCAACCTTGGCAGTGACCCTGGAGGAAGTCTTGGAGGCAGAGTCTAGAGAACAGTGCTCTTTATCTTGGCTCACTTCTTCTTTTTGTGCTTGTACTGTCAAGCTATCAATTTCATCCTGACCTCTAGATTGGTTGGTAGTAGTAGTGTATGATACACCATCTGTCGGAGCTGAATTGTGTGGTTATTGACGGGACAGACACCGATCCTGCCAGCAAACGCTTGACTGCGAGATGGAGGAGCCAGAAGCTGAGATCAAGACTGAAGTAGTCTTCAAATAAACTGTCTCTGCTGGTTCTATACCAATGGATTTCGAAGTCCAAGAAGACAGCAATTGAGCGCATTCATATAAGAGTGCTTTCGAATGCAACCTTCAATTCTGTCTGGCCTGAAGTGTAAGTGGGCACATAAGCTTCATCAAGGAACCAAAGACACTTTAGGTGTCCATCTCTTTTGGGGATCTTACAGCCACAGGATACATCTCTTGAACAACGTAGGCAGAAGAAATAGCTCAAAGGGCAAGCACAACTTCAAACACCAGCACCACAACTGCTGAAGAACCAAAACCTGGGACAAACAGGCCACAGGAGGCCTACGAAGACTGACAAAACCAAAGGTCAATTCCAAGAATGAGTTTTCTATGAATGCTGTTGCAGTGGTGGATGAAAAGCTCCTTATTTAGAGGTGCTGGAGGTAGCTAGGGCTACTGACAAAATGCTTATGTAATACTCTAGAACAAGGGTAGGCAACCTAAGGCCCGGGGGCCAGAT